AGCGTTAAATCAATTGATGTTATTACAATTGGAACGCAACTTTCATCATAACTTGTTCACTGTTTGTGGGGGACATGTTTGGTAATGAATATATTCATAAGAGGTTTATTCTGTGTCGTTCGAGTATTTTCTTGAAAAAAAAAACATTAATTGGTATTGGAAAATTAAAAACTTCAGAGTATGTATACCTCTTATTATTTTTGATTGAATTTTATTTTAATGTTAAAAATAAACAGGCGCGTATATATTTCTTTGTATTAAAGTAATATTGGTTAAATAATTATTTTATTTAAACCCGTGGTTTTAATTTAAAAACAATGTTTCACAGAGAACTGTGGTTTGGATTTTAACCAATGCTTTTTTATTTAACCTTTATAAGGTGGTCCAAAGAATGTAAAAATTACAACCTGTTTTCCTTCTATTAGTAGTGAGGAATTATTAAAATATTTCAAGTAGTTGACACGGACATGTTAATTGTCTAATACGAAGGTCTATTGGGTTGCCGTTTTCTTTTTTGTCACTTCAAGAGGAAAATGATATAGAAAGAAGGCTTATAGAGGATCCATTGAAAAACAAAAAGCAATCAAAGCTTTGGAGTTTCATTAAAATCATTGGAAATGATTTGAAATTTATGGTGCACGAAGAAATTAAAATAGCAAACTTCATGCCAAATCGTCGAATCTATAATTAATGGAATTCCGAGTTTGGTTATATGTACTTCCAAAAGACAATTCCGAATCTTACACATTGATTTGTTTTTTTTTGACAACTTATTATTGATTCCTTTATTTAAAGTATTGCTACCAGCAAACGGTAAGGAAGTGTTTGGAATTAAATACGATCGGGGTATATATTAGCGATTATAAAAGCATTTTACTTAAGTAAATCGTTTACATTGTCATCGAAATTCCTGTAGATATTTTAAGAATTAACGTTTTGAGTTATAATATGTTTAGAGAGTAATTATTATTAATCCAGATCTTATCTTATCTTCGTATCAATATTCACGTTCCACTTCGCAAAGATAGTGTTACTTTATCAACATTTAAATAGATGAGTAAACAGATATTTCGTTTATATAATTAAATACAACGATACATTAACTGTAAACCGAATAAATTAGGAGCGTTACATAGTGATAAGAATGAATTGATTAAATAAAAATCGAAAACGCGTGTTTTTCGCTAAAATCTAAAGTAGACTCTATTTGTTAGCCTTTTGGCGTCTTTTCCAATAACTCCCGGATTTTATAACTTAAGTATATTTTTTTTATAATTGTTGATTTTTCAGTTTTACAATTTTCTCATTGTCACATTATAAACAAGACGTTAATTTTCCACATAGAATTATCTAATCCTGTGAATGCTGTTTATACTGAAAATTTCTTCCTTGTTCAATTGTAAAAAAATGGGAATAGATAAATAAGGGGCATATCAGAATAGTCGACCTGAGTTACTTATTGAGCAAAGTAACGATACCAGCGTTGATTAAAGTAACTGAATCTACAGTTTGTAATCCTTATCAATACGTAAAACTTAGTTATAGATTTTTTAAGACAAGATTTGATTTATATTGTTATTAGCTTTTTACTAAACAAATAAAGGTCTTATGTTTGTGTACAAATAGCCCAGATTCAAGTATGAAAGTGACAAAAATGAGAACAATTATCATAATACTTTTTACGACTTTCTCCCAGATCGAAAGCGAAAATAAGCAGTAAATAAGAAATATTCGGACGATGTTGTATACAAAGTGAATGGACAAATTAAAAATATGTATAGAAGATAAAAAAAATATTTAGGTATATATGATAACTTGATAACATAAAAAACAAGGCTTTACCTTTTCTTTCTTCATAAATTAAAATAAATATTATTAATAAGTGCTTTTAACATAACTGCTAGTTATAGTGCGATGTACTTCATTTCCAGTAAACTCGCTTTTTTTAAATCAAACACACAAACTCAATCATTTACAAAAAAAAAGTTGTAAAGTATTTGTGTAGTTTTACATACCATTTAAAATATTGAAATAACCGCCTAAAATTCCATCCAAGAAATTGTGTCATTTGCCGCTCTGCATTTCCACTATACGTACAGTTATTAAATTACTTCTACGTGCTGGTTTCATATAAGATATAATTTGTGGACGGAGGAAGTAGAAAATAATTCAATTACAACTTTAATTGATGGCACACTGAAGTCATTTATTCGTAGCACAATTTAAGTTGAACGTGTGATGTGGCACAACCTTTGTTTATGTATGTAAATTAAATTTAAAGACACAAATTTTGAATGTTCTCATAAAATTATATCACTCGTAATGTAAGAGTTCGTGGATTTAGTTAAAGCACGATAGGAATGCACGCCAGACACACGTGCGGGCCGCGCGGGAAGACTGCGTGGCGATCGGGGCGCGCTGCGGTGGGGAGCCGCCGCGGTCCGCGTCACTTTCTAGTTCGGAAAACTGTCGCTTCTACCCCGTGGCGGTAATGGCGGCGCGCTTTTCTTAACAAAATCCTAATGTTGATTTTAATTATTTTAGGAGCTTTTGAAATTATTTTATATTATCTCTAGTAATTACTTCATAATTCTGGTAGAGATGATTTGTTTTGATTGTATAGAATCTATACTATAATATATAATTATCTACATATTTTAATCATCTAAATTTGTTTTCTTTTTGTTATTCAATATAGAAAATTGCGCACGGCCGATTCAATTTAAAAAAAATACTGAATCAGTTACCAACAACAGCACCACAGCCTGAATTGTGACTCTTGTGTTGTAAAAAATAAGACATGAATTTTTGTAACATAAGTAAAATTTATTAAAGAGAAATGGTCTTCTAATAATTTCTAAATACCTATATATGTATGTACATATATTATATTAACTATACTAATTCCGTATCTTATAGTAATATATTATTATATTATACTAACTGCAATAGTATTATTGATAAATATTATGTTATACGTTACTATTTATTCATTCTTAAGAGTATTTGTATTCAAAATAAAAATATACTAAATTTAGCATGAATGACTATGTATAGACTAAAACAACTAAAAATGTACAAAACGATTTCTATGACATCGTTAAGGAAACTTGGAATTAATAATATGTTAAATTTTTTTATTTTTTTATTGCCTTTGTAGGCAAACGAGCACACGGCCCACCTAATGGTGGATGGTAAGTGGTTACCGTCGCTCATGGACGTCAGTAACGCCAGAGGCAGAGCCAAGCCGCTGCCTACCGTATTGAAATACGTTTTTTTTATTGCTTATATGGATGGACGAGCTCACAGCCCATCTGGTGTTAAGTGGTTACTGAAGCCCATGGACATCTACAACGTAAATGCGCCACCCACCTTGAGATATAAGTTCTAAGATCTCAGTATAGTTACAACGGCTGCCCCACCCTTCAAACCGAAACGCATTACTGCTTCACGGCAGAAATAGGCAGGGCGGTGGTACCTACCCGCGCGGATTCACAAGAGGTCCTACCACCAGTAGAATAAATTAAATAAAGTTATTTAGCACGTCAAGCCTATATGTCATGGCCTAGATGGATTGATAGGAACACCGATTAAAATATTTTAAATTTACCGAGTATTAGTATAGTAGAAGCTCAGTATTATTTTTCCGGATACCTATTTAATTTTCGAATCCCATTGTGATTTAAATGAATCCGTACATAAAGATTTTAACACTTATTTTTCGCTCTTAATGACCTATTATTATTATTATAGTATTATTACTATTATTATTATTTTCATAAGTAGTCCATCCTTAGAAGCTATAGAGACAACTATTGTAGTTCCTTAAGCCCTGTCTTGTTAACATGAATTTTAATTAATGGTGCTAGAGCGTTCTTTCAGCCAATGGCTAGTATCAGTGTATGTGATAGGTATAGATATGTACATAATAAGTTATATTATCTCCAGAATGTTGCTATGGTAAACAAAATCATGTCTTTCGGTTTGACCGGGAGAATATATTATATCCTATTGAGACTTCAATGTTATCTTTCAGGGCAAGGAAACAATCACGATGGATAAACTGACGCGCCGCTTAATTATAGATGAGCCGAAAACTTGTCCTATTTTCTACACCGTTGATACTAAAACAGATTCATCGAAAGGTTATTGGCAATGATTAACCGATGTTGGCTTTTAATTAGTGAAAAAGTATCATAAAGTCGCTTTATTATTGAATCAATGCCAAAATCTCGTTATCTTGTTGATGAAGGAAAAAGCGCTCTTAGATTCGTGAAAGAAAAATAATCAGGCTAGCGATCGTACAACTAATATAAAAGATACTCGTACTTGCTACTACTAACTCGGAGAAGGTAATATTATTTTTAAATTATAAACGGGTTTGATACTTTTATTGACATTGGTGACAAATGATCGTATATCCCCCATGATCTTGAGTGGTTACCGTCGCTCGTTGGCAATGCCAGTGGCACAACTACGTCGTTACCTACCGCAGAGGTTTGTTTTTAAGCTATTTAAAGTGCTAGTAGATGCTTTTCAATTATAGTAAGAATGGGTTTGGATATTCTTTTAAAAATTATTATGATTGACCGTTTTTTAGTAAATTTTTTTATATAGATATCTTTTTTTAACAACATAAGATTTAAAATATAGTACAGTAAAGAGAAATTTCTAATAATATATATATGTATTTCTACATTCATGCCAATCTCAGTATATACTTTTTATTATGGTAACTGCACCTACCTTAAAAGAAAAGGAAATTAGTGAATAAAGCTTTTTTTTGTGATGAATTGTAGTAATATTTTGAAGGGAGTATCTCAATCTCATATGTGCAAATGAAATGTTAACGGTGTTTAAAGAATATTAAAAAAATCGAACAAAATTAGTTTCACGGAGTCTTTAATTGTTCCAGTTCACATTTGTTTACAATTTGCTTGTATAATCCTGTAGTCCGGGTATATTTGTAAATGCTAATCATAAAATGGTTAGGTACTTACCTTGTACATATTGTACAGCTTGTATGACCTATCATGATTTTCGGAAGCAGTTTGTGGACACTCCATTCCAATTCGTGCACAGAACTCGAAAAATTATGACGGTCCATTTACAGCATCAAGTACTGATTTTCTTAAAAGGTTACTTCGACCCCTGCAGTCGCTGCACTAGCAAAAGGAGATTTGTTTTTAAAATTTTATTCAATGATGTGCATCCTTTTTATAAAAAGCGAATCGTCTTGTATTGAGTGATTGAAAGTACAATAATGTACAAAATATGTAATTACAATGATAAATTTATTTTAATTTACAAATCTAAAAAAAAATTTATAACTATAATTGAATTAACTGAAATATATAACATGTGACCGGTGTTCTTATTTTCAATGTTGTCAAAGTTTGACATCGCCGACGGCAAAATTGTTTCTCTGAACTATCTTATGGGTAGCAAATGTATGCCTTATTATTCCGAAACGAAATATTATTCACTCCAATATTGGATTTGATTTATTGTAATTAATAATAATTATACGGAACTTTTACGGAAGTTATTAAATAGAATGTTATTGCTAGGTACTTTTTAAGTTAAAACGAAGTAGAGTTATAGGGAAATTGTGAATAAATAGATTTTACAGAAATAATTTTAATATTAAACACACAATTGAGGATGTTATGATTAAATAGACTAGTTAATTGATAATTAATTAGCTGTATACCACAAATATTTGGCAATCGACGTTAGTCAGAAAGTTCACTTTGTTGTTTACTACGACAACGTGATTATTAGGTCCAGTTATCAGCGATTATCAATGAAGTTCAAGCAAAAAAGCGGGGTGCCGCCAGTGTCGAGCGGATTGCGGAGAGCACGTGGCCGGCACGCGGGCTCGGCACGCTGGGGTATAGTTGCGGAACCGCGAGGGAGCACCCGCCGGAAACCGAGGTGTATCGGGGCTCCTCGAGTACAGAGAAGTGGCGGCCCGCGGCGCGCCAACCCCGCGCTTCCAGCCCCGCACTCCCCGCACCCGGCTCAGCACACACATGCACTCCGCAGCCTTCGTCTCCTCACCACCACTCACCCCGCACTGTATTTGCCTTAATCGCGAATTAAGGTTCCAGTAATGTTTTCTGTTAAGCTTAAAGCTGAATTGACGTCATTCATTAGAAAACCCAATTTCGTTAGGGCGTTGTGTTCTAGTCCGGAATTTCTCATAACTATTTATTTGTTTCATCAGTATTAATTATAACAAAATTAAACTATCACATATTGTTAACAAACATGATGATTTTCACTGCTTTCTAATTTTCAAAGAATATTTTTTTTTTATTTATATGTTGTTTATTTTTTTTATTTGTAGAAGGCTTAAGTAAGTTTAACAATACAAACAAGTGTTTGCATATATTAAATAAATCAATGTTATCAACTTCTAACCTTAATAGATTGTGAACAATTAATTTCATGTTATAAGCGTAATCAGAAATGATTGGCATGTGCACCACGCCCAGACGCACACAGTAGGTATTAACCACTATAAGATGCACTCTCGGTCGATGCCTGACGATTCAAAGCTGGATTGGTCAACATATACGTAGGTTATAGGAAATTTCGAGGTTTCCGTATAATTGTATTTGCGATGGGGAAATCGGACATGGGAAAGCGTCTGCATTGCAATTGAAGTGTACTAACGAATTTGAAATTCTACATTACATATGACTTTATATAAATATGTACCTATATTTGTAACATTCAAACATGTCGTCATTTTTGATAATTTTGCTAAGTTGAAATTATACGAAATAATAATTATAAAAAGAATCATCAAGTTACCTACATACTTTGATTGAGTGAGAACTTTAAAACATCAGAAATCCTATTGAATCATAAAGTAATATTAATACAATGCGGACTCTACCTAAGACAATTGAAGAAAATTAATTTCCCACGGGCATCTACCAAGTAAGTTATTATGTGGCAGCTTATTTCTTGGATGAGTAATGCTTTTGATTTGTTAATAAAATATACAGTTATTAAAGTATTACATAGCATACTGTACAGTTGTTACTGCTTCTGATGAAAGAAAACAGTTCTTAGTTTAACCGTTGAAGTTTAATAGGAAATAAATTAGAAAAAGCATAAAGAGTGGTCAAGATGAAAATTAATAGAATTAAAACAATATCGTAAAATCAAAGATGGAATTAATTAGAATTGTTAATCGTTCTTTATGTTTCTTCAGGTCTTTTTTAAATTATTTTTTATTGCCCTTGTAGGCAGACGAGCATACGGCCCACCTGACGGTGAGTGGTTACTGTCGCCCAAGAACTACAGCAATGCCAGGGGCAGAGCCAAGCCGCTGCCTAGCGCTAAATAGCTGTTATGTGCGGTGTAAGTTATTTTAAGTTTATTTTTCAAATTATCGTGCAAGATACCTATTTCAGCCGCTTAGAAATCTTGTGTTAAGTAAGGTTTATATGATAGCCGATGTATGCCAAAGCAATATTGAGACCTTAGTTCTATGGCTCAAGATGGTAAGCTGTTGTTTTATTTGTGGACTCAGTAACCGCCTAATATCAGTAACGACATAATGAAAGAGTAACAAATCTAGATATTATAATTTGCGTTTTGTTTTTGCAACAAAAAAGTACCGTCGTGCTTTAGATTTAACCAACTTGTTACCGGTTTTTTTTGTTACTACTTTATATTGGTAGATGAGCTCATGGCTCAGCCGGTGCTACGTGGTCATCGAAGCTCATAGACATCACAGGATGCTAAGCACTTGGAGACATGAGCCCAAGTCTCATTTTTTTTGCTTATCGGCTGCCCCTCCACACAGACCAGTATGCATGTTTGCAGCTGTGTCCTCATCCCCATGATACCACTAGTTTTTATATATCTTATGAATGAAATATGTCATGAAAATTTTGTTATAAACTTACTTAAAACCTGAATTACCCTATGAAAATGCACTACAGAATGACGGATATAATAAAAAAAATAGTGTATCTTGGAAATCTAACTTCATCTCACGACCATAACAATTCACAACTAAATAATTATTAGGAATGGACTAGTGATCCGAATTGACTTTTACTTGGGATACCAGAGAGTTTCAGCCTGCAACTTCGTATTTTCTGACTATTAAGATAGGAGTATTTATCATATATACTTATATGAGTAATACTTCATGCTGCGATCGTTAGCCGGCATTTACTGACAGCCCGAGTTATTGAAAGCACGCATACTTTGGTACCACCACCCTGCCCATTTCTACTGCGAAGCAATAATGCCTTGCGGCTTGAAGATTTTCATAGCCTGTAAACAGTCCATGGTGGTACCGATTGCTGCCTATACCCACGCTGCCAGTCATTATCCAAATTTATAAATTGTGTGAGTTTGATTTTAATTACATGATGGTATTCTTTATCGTGGAGGTCGTTCTTAAGTTAACTAAAGTTAAGTGTGTGTATCCTTAAAAAAGTTTCCTAGATAGGATGCAGATGCAGGATTAGAAGATTACCACAGCCGCATCGCTTGATATGAATTCAGTATGCTTCGATTGTAATATTATAATAGATATGCTTTTTATTACGAAGTTTCTATTATTCACGTATTGAGATCAACAGTTTTTAACTAGACGCATCTTACCTTATGCAATTGTTCAATTTCATCGCAAAAAGTTGATGTTTTGGGTGTAATTGTTTGTAAATTATTTTTTTGTGTTGCCGTGTGTTTTCTGTTTGGGCTTTTTTGTTGCTTAGACGGGTGGACGAGCTCACTGTCCACCTGGTTTTAAGTGGTTACCGGAGTTATGTTATGTTCATAAATATCATCATTTGAGTATCATGCAAACACTACTATGTATTTGTACGACCGTTTTGTATTTGGAAATAGATGATATCTGACTTATTTCGCTGCAATGACTGCAACTGGAAATTGTTTTCTAGTGAACATGCTCACGATCTTCATGGTGTTAAGCAGTTAGAGTCCATGGACATCACAGTGAGAATTCCACTCACCTTGAGACTTAGATCGAAATCTCAGTTGTATTGTAATATATAATGGCAGTACCATCCTTCAAGAGCAACGCAGTTATAGTTTCACGGCAGAAATAGGAGAGACAACTACAGTTATGTCGTGGACATTAAATTTTCGAGTATTAGACCAGCGCACTGGGATTGTCTACCGACATTTACTGGTGTAGGGCTTATTAAGAGCACGCATGGGTGGGAGGGACTACAACCTGAAAAGCTTAGAAGACAACTACTTAGTGCTTCATAAAATTTACTCGTGTCTGTGATAAATTACAAAAATAAACAAAACATTTACTCTTTGATTAGAATAATAACTGAACACATCTAATAAAAAAAAAACAAAATGATGTAATTCGTTAATGATAAACCAAAGAAATGTACGAATGACTTTTGTTTCATGGAATCGTTGTGTCGTAGGTTGATACGAGCTTGTTGCGGTAAATCACAGTGGTTTCGAGTAGGTCGGTCTATTTGTGGTGACAAGAGAGGCGTGGGAGCCGCGTGTACCGAGCTGGAGTGGCAATGACCTTGACACTAAGCGAGTGGCCTTGGGTAGCACGTGGCGGCTGACACCCGCTGTCTGTTGTCGGAACGCCGCCGCCGCCTTTCCCAGGGGAGCCTATTGTGGACATGTCTCAAACTTGTTCGGTTTGCTGCAAGCACAGAGAATTTTTATTGTGGTACATTCTTTTTATACGCCAAGTAATGATTTGACGAAATTGAAATTAATTACTTGAACGTCAAATCTCATGGCATGAAGCAAAATGATACAAAATGGACTGAGCTGTTAATTAGTGACAAGATCGAACAAAAAAAATACATATACCGCAAATAATACACAGACTGAATTGAGAATGTCCTTGTTGAAGTCATTTTAAAATGTCCATAACAAACACGCATTAATGGGATTTTTTATATGTACCTATAAACATACATACCATAAACATGGAGCTTTACTCCGGTTTTAGCTGGTAATCATGCAAGCTAATTTGACTTTAAAAAATCCTATTTAATTTTATTGGTCGGACGACGTTGTATGCCCTTAAAAATTGACATATCTTCTTTATTAGTCAATCAATTTAAATAAAATGAGCATTAAATGTAGGTCTGGGCCTAGGCAAGTTTAAAAACTGAAAACAAAATACAAATCAACTGAAGTTTATTGTGCATTAATGAAAAGACAAAATGTCCATTAAAGTTTTTAATAGCTGTTACAAACAGGCATATACATATTAGAATTTGCTAGGTCATATCCAAGTTAAGCCATCGTGTGAATGGGTGCGATTCACAGAGTCAGCGACGTGCGGCAGCGTGTCGAGTGCGGTCGCCGCGGGGCGGCTGCGAGCGTTCAGTAGCCCCCGCCTGGCCGATACGTTTACGAGCCGACACTAACTTTAAGTGACCCCGCCCGTACTCCTGCGGCATACTGCCTTGTTTATATCCCATCTCAATGAAAATAAAAGCGACGCCGTTTCCGTACACTGAAAACAATTTCTTGGACAGCTGTTCGGCTTGTCTCGTTTGTCGTAACTAATGCTGTTGCTTAGGATACTGAAATTGTAGATAATTTAATTCATTTTTCTTTGTTTTCATTGTTCTTTCGAGACAAATTTATGCGAAAATGTAAGTACTGTACGACTTACAAAACAAATCAAAAATAATAAATTCGATTTTTTCTAATACAAATTATCCTTGAAGATTGTTTACAATTAAGTAATGTTGCCAAACAAGCACTAAAGTTGAAACGGAAAGCGCGGATCCCGTAATAGTAAGTTGTCCAGTCCAACCAGTCCCATCCACGCTCCGACGATCAGAATGTCGTCGAAGCTAGATTTTCTTCGCTCGGAAGTCCGATAAATTATGAAGAGCTATTGAGCATGGCGTGAGTAGAGTAGTGCAAGGTGAA